ACCCAACAACGAAATTTTGGTGAGACACTGCCTTTAAAAGACTTTTGTAGAATGAAGCATAAACTAATCTATCATCATAGTTCTCGATGGTTTTTTCTTTTTTTTTCATAAAACTAATTCTACCGAATCTTTCGTTGCTGAGTCTTTGATTGAAGAATTTTTTTGGAGTGCATTGGAGTGGTTAGAGACATCACTATAGAGAACATCTTAAAAAATCTCAACTTCAAACGAGGACTTCTGCTCAGAATTAGGTGTTTTATTTACTAACCTTAGAATACTGTCGCGTTGTATATACAAGCTTCTCGTATTCTTCGTGTAGATATAACCATGCTTATTCGCAGTGATTGGAATATAAAATAAATTTTTTAGAAGAACAACCACCAACAGCTCGAGTAGAACCCCGAGTATGGAATGGCAAACCCGGTGACAGACATCAATTCAAGTGCATAGTTACTGGAATACCCACACCAACGGTACATATAAACTGCTACTTATTCATTTTTTACTATTTTGAAATTAGGTACAATGGTCCGGCCCCAATAATACTCCTCTACCCCATGACGTCACCGAGTTGGATGGAAACATTTTGGATTTCTCCAATGGACGAACTGAGTTGAATGGCGACTATACTTGCACGGCTACCAATCCTGTTGGAGAGGTGACTTCTTTTGCAAATTTAGCGTTTTTTCTCAACAATTTTCGTCTTCAAGGCATCCGACTATGGCTCAGTCAACATTGGACCATCGCTTACCGTAAAAACTACACCAGCTGGTCCCAGGTTGATCCTTACCGTAGGCGAACCTCTTCTTGTGAAATGTGAAGCATTTGGTGAACCCGAACCTGAGGTAAGTCGCCGTGCTCACGTTTCCTCCCTTGACCATGACTTGTTTAGGTTGAATGGTTGCACGATCCCGGACCAGAACGAGGTGATTTACCTGATGATTACAAACCGGTTACCATCTCCGAGCAGTTCATTCGACATCCTGCTATCGGTCTTGGAAATGCAGGAGCATACACATGCAAGGGATCAAACAGTCATGCTACGGCCACCAAAAACATTTATATTGAAGGTGAACAACTTTTGAATGCAGATCTTGAAGTCTCAAAATTTATTGCTTTCCAAATATGCACCAAAAATCAATAAATATTCCGTATTTTTCAGTCGTGGAACCGTCCAGAGTCGCTACCGTATCCATTCTCGGAGGATCATCGCAATGGTTTGAACAAGGCAAACCGGCTCAGCTTATTTGTACAGCCACTGGAACCTCTCTTGTCGACCGACTCGAATGGGTCAAGGTAAAATCATGCTATAGTCAAGTAGATTTTCTGCTTTATATGGTGTACTAT